CCCCTCCAAGCCCTTATTGCTATCAACTTCTCCCCCAACTCTTGAGATTTTTCTTTTGTCAAGGCTCCCCACTTGATCTTAGGTTGACCATACACATCCCTCTTCTTCCTCTTTCTCTTAATCTCTAGGTCCATTACCAAGAGCTTATGTTGTATCATAAGATTCTCACTCGGGGTAACCTTGCAGTCCATGCATACACCTTTATCACACTTCCTAAGAAGTGTGTAATCAATTTGGGTCTTGGTCACCGTACTATGGAAGGTGACCAGGTGCTCCTCCTGCTTCTGAAAACTCGAGTTAGCTATCACCAAATCAAAAACTTTAGCGAAATCCAACAACGAAGTTCCTCCTTCCTTTCTATCCTCAAAACTGAAACTGCCATGCACATCGTCATACCCCTTCTCGATGTGATGCTGGATTGCATGTGATATAATTATGAAATTCATCAATCTATGCCTCAGCCTAAACAAGTTGGGGTTTGCTATATGAATCCTCACTTCTCCATTATGCTCAACTCATGTCATCATCATACCTTAATATATTTTAATATATGTAAATAATAATAGATAATACCAATAATGTTAGAAGTTATCTAACAAGTCTAAAACTTATTCCCAACTAGTAGATATCCCCTATATGGATCTTTTTCTTCCATTGTGCCCTATCAACTAAGTCTACATTGATTCCAAGCATTTGTAGGTATATCAAGACAGTTTCTTTCCTTGTAATTTTTAGGTCTACCCTGACCCCTTTTTAACACTCTCACTATTATAGTTCCACACCTAATGACCGATGCATCTGTAGGTTGACGCAGGACATGAACAAACCATCTCTGGCGATCTTATCCTTTTATCTTCAGTGTGCTACTTGCATCTTCTGGCGAATGTGGTCATTATTAATCTTATTTAATCTTGTATAGCCGTGCATTCATTAGTGGATATATTGGAATTTAGTGGCCAAGCATTTACTACCCTATAACATTGTCGGTCTTATAGTTGTTACGTAGACTTCACTTTCACTTTGGTGAGTATCCTTCTATCATATAACGTTCTGGTAGCACTTCACCATTTCAGCCATGCAGTTTTAACTTTGTGAGTTATATATGTATCTGTCATTCCATTCTATTGAAAGCCTAGATATCTAAATTTTTTTCATTTTGGCACAACAATCCCGTTTAGTCTTCAACGTCACTCTTCTCATGCTGACTAAATTTGTTGGGTATGTATTACGTCTTACTTTTACTTATCCTAAAACTCTTACTCAATAAAGTGCTTCTCCATAGTTTAAGCTTTTGCTTGACGCCCTCTCTGGTTCTGTCATATCATCAGTAAATAGCATACATCGTGGGACCTTATCTTGTATTATGTAGGCTAGCTCATTCATAACTGGGGTAAACTAGTAGGGGCTCAATGCCGATCCCTGGGTATAGACCCACTGTCGTTGAAAAATCCTTTATAAATCTCCTACTACTGTTCTCACTCCAGTGACGGCTCCTTCATACATGTCCTTTCAGTATATGTCAAATCAGATTAGAGAACTAATTAAAGTAATTTCAATCAAGCCCTTGAGAATTTGACCTGTTCTCTTGAGAAAGAACTGTTGGATATGTTTGAAACTCACTACAATTCTTGGACTTGCTTAATTGGTTCAAATTCTGTCAGTGAACCAGTTTTTGAAATCTAGGTCACCAGGTGTGGCAGCTCCATTGGTTACTTCTGTGGAGAGCTACACTTGTAATGTGGTATACTGATCCTTACATGTTTCCTCTAGGGTGATGAAAATTCTCATGAACTGCCTAACGAAGAGATGGTGTGTGATACCAAGGCTGCGGATGAACCAAATCGAAATGTTGATGAAACCAATACTGAAATGACTGATCATTTCCCCATACTTGTAGCAATTTGTAAGTAGAGACATTTACCCTCCTCGAGTTTTCTATAGTGTGTCATGTAGTTAAGGCACTGACCTAGCATCCAATCATGCACTTCTTTGAATGCAGCTCCACAGGGAATCTCTCAAGTTGCTTGTGATCGTAAACCAGATCGTTTAGGCGTTGCAGAGCTTTATAACAAGGTGAATATTTCACTGCCAAACATACTTTGACTTTATCTTATGCATAATTTGACAAACTTGCCAGTACAAAGACAATAAAACCACATATTTCTCAGCAACTATTCTAAAGATGATACTTGTATGTTTTTTTGTCTGTTCTGCAGATGTGCCAGGTACTATCTGGAGATGTCCAAGATTCATTAAATGTGGGTCACCCTAGTATGAGAAAGAACATCCTTCCATTGGAAGCGATTTGTCAACAGATGAACCAAATTCTTTCTTCATCACATCAAGATACTCCTAATTTCAAGAGGGATTCTGAAGCTAGTAAATCCAGTATTCCAGTCCTATCATCTCAAGTAGATAATAGGGTGCTCAATACCGAGAAAGAAGATGACAGTCATCCAAAAAATTCAGAATCTGTATCCAAGAGTGCTAGCAATTGTACAGTTGCAAGCATGGCTGAGAGCAACGAGCACCACAACATTTGTCCTGCAGCAGTTCCAGAGACTAGACCTAGTGGTTTATCAACTGGAGAAGCTGATATAGAGATGGTGGATCATAGTGACATTTCCACCACCAATGTTGACAGAAAAGAGGAATTAGGTTCTGAGGCTGTTCGCATAGATGATGATTAAAAGTGAATCTATGTATGTACTTTTGTCTGCTAGCTGCTATAAACATTTATAAAAAATGACGGTGACATTTTTCTTACTCCAAGTTGATAAACACTGTTGAGGGAGGAGCCTCTCTGTTGTACTCTATTCTCCCTAATATCCCATGTTTTGATGGACATTATAAAATGAGAATCAGCATAGTCAAACTTCAGTGTTCTAGTCTTCTCACAGGTTCTACTGAGTCATTCTCCGTATTATTGCAGTTGAATGAAACTTCATGGTTTTCAAAGAATTTTGCTGTGTATTCTTGAAATGAAGTCTATTTCTTCAGTTTAATCTGATGAAATCTAGTAGTTAGTCATGTAGCTTCCCATCTTCATTGCGGACATGACATGTGCTTCACCAATATAGGGAAAAGGGGAAACTGTCTAGGCGAAGTTGCGGATGCCTCTTATTCTACTTGTTGTATTGACTTCCTTTTGTTATAGTAGTAAACTTTGGAGATTTTCTATGATAATACTATTTTGATATTTTTTTCCTTTAACTATGATTATTTTAATATATACATTACGTTATTTCTAATATCAAATTTACCCCCACGACTAACGGAATTCCATGTGTGCATCTCATTAACTGATGTGGCCTTTTTTCATTTGTCCACGTGGATCAGTGGGGCTAACATTATGTTTGCTTTTTTTTTTACCCATTAAACCGATCCGACCCATTTCTTTTACCTATGGGTCGGTCTTTTAACCCTAAACCCACCGACAAAATACTTACTTTTTACCATTTCTCTTATTTCTCTTCCGTTTCTTCTATCTAAACTATCAATGGCGATTTTAGGGCTTTGTTAGGGTTCATTGTCTGGTCCGATTTGGTGCGCTCAAAACAGGAAGACCTTTGATTTCCAGCGATATCTTGCATTATTATTCGATTAAGGTAAGTATTTACTGCTTACAATTATTAAATTGTAGGGTTGGGGAATATTTGGGAACTGACAGGTTTATGTCTGGTGCATGTGAAGTTTTTATGTTTTGAGTTATTTTTTGTACCTTTCTAGAATTTTATTTTGTCACTTTTGTTTTTGGTGGTCCGTATCATATTGGTCCTACTTATTAAAGCTATTGTTTTTGTCAATTTGTATATTTAATTGATGGTGGGGTTTCAAATCTTTGTATTTTTACTGTCGCTTCGTATTATAATGCTGATGTGGTCCCAATTTGCCTTTTATTGTTGTTGCATGTGATTTTATCAGAAGGATGGTGGATAAAGTGAACTTATATTTTAATTACGGGGGTGAGTGGGTATTGGAACCTACGTTGTCTTATACTAAGAGAGATGTGCACGTGTTGAGTGGCTATGAAGTAGACCATCTCTCTTATATTGATTTGTGTAAAGAATACACTGAAGTGATAGGATATGTTGAGGTACAACAACTGATATTTCTTGACCCTTCTGGGAGGTATTTTTTGTTAGATGGGGATGAAGGGATTAGGAAGATCAAGCCCTAATTAATGATGGTTTCACTAATGTACAATTATTTGGGGTTGACCTGTTAGATGATACTGTTAATGTTCCTGTATTTACCCAGTATACAACAACAGTAGATAGTGTACCTGTTGTTGCAGCTTCTGATTGTGATAGTATTGAAGATGATTTAGACATTGAAAGTGTTGATAGTGATTATGATAGTGATGCCCTAGGTTTATTTGAGAGGCAGAAGAAGTGTGAGGTAACTGACAACCTTGATAGGTATAAAACATTGGAAAAGGGTATGACTTTCAAAGATCTTGCTGAAGCTAAGGAGGTTATTGGTTATTATGTTGTGTCTAATAAGAGGGGCCTTAAGGTAGATAAGAGTGATAAGAAAAGACTTAGATACAAACGTCAGATAGGGTGTCCTTTTAAATGTCTTATTCCTAAGGATGGCAAAGATCAAGGGGTAAAGATAAAAACTTGGAGGGATGAACATGATTGTAGTGAAGTGTTTGAGAACAGAAGAGCTACTCCTGCTGCTTTAGCACATTATTTTAAGAGAAAGATTCAAAATAATCCTAAGTTTAAGATTAAAGAGATGAAGATTGATTTAGAGGATAGATTTAGTTTGAATGTGAGTGCCTCAAAGTTAAAAAGGGTAAAGAGAATGGTTTTAGAGAAATTGGAGGGTTCTTACTTGGATGAGTACAACAAATTGGAGGCATATGCTCAAGAGTTGAGAGAAACAAACCCTGGTACTGATGTGGTGATACAGATATCCAAGGATGCAATGGAGGAAGGTAAGAGAAGATTTTTGAGGATGTATATCAGTTTCCAAGCCCTGAAGAGTGGATTCAAAGCAGGTTTGAGACCTTTTATAGGTCTAGATGGAACATTTTTAAAAGGCAAATGCAAAGGGATGTTGTTAGTTGCTTGTTCTCAAGATTCTTGCAAGCATTTTTATCCACTAGCTTGGGCTGTAGTGGATAAGGAAACAAAGACAACCTGGCAGTGGTTCATGGAGAACTTGAAGGCTTCTTTGGACTTGAAAGATGGTGAAGGGTACACATTCATGTCAGATATGCAGAAGGTATGTTAGCATATGCAGATTTTTACATTCAGCAGTTTTTTACATTTAGCACATTCTTTGTTAATGTAATGTTTCTTTGTGTTGGGTTTGTTAGATGCTGTGAGGAATGTATGTCCACAATCATATCACAGATATTGTGCAAAGCATATTGAAGCAAATTGGAGGCAAAAATGGAATACTGATGAGATGAAAAAGTTAATGTGGTGGTGTTCTTGGAGCACATATGAGGTGGAATTTAAGGACATGTTGAAACAGCTAGGTGAAGTTTCTGAGGATGCCGTCAAGGACTTGCTGAACTATCCTCCAATAACTTGGTGTAGAGCTTACTTTGATACCCAATGTAAGAATCCAATGGTGGACAACAACTTTACAGAGTCCTTCAACTCTTGGATTCTTGAAGCTAGACATAAGCCAATAGTGAAAATGCTTGAGGATATAAGAGTGAATGTGATTAACTGCTTGTTTACTGATTTAATACTGTTGATTAACTACTGATTTCATACTGTTGATTAACTACTGATTTACTATGTTACTGATTAACTATTGAAGGTGATGAATCAACTAAAGGATAGAGCAGAAGAAGTAAACAGTTGGAGAGGTGAATACAGCCCATATGCAATGGAGTTATACAATGATTATAGAGAGATAGCTTCAAAGTGCAAGGAAAATTTTAATGGAGAAAGGGGTTTTGAAATAAGTGAAGGTGAAGACAGGCACACAGTGATTTTGGGGCAACAAAGGTGCACATGCAGGCTTTGGGACTTGTTTGGAATCCCTTGTGCTCATGCTATCAGGGAATTCTTATATAAGAAACAAGACCCAACAGTTGGGATTCACTGGTGGTATTCCAAACAAGCCTGGCAGTTGGTGTATCAGCACAAACTGCAGCCTGTTAGAGGTGAAAGATTCTGGAAAATTGAGCCACACCAAGCCATGGATCCACCACCACTAGCAAGGATGGTTGGTAGACCTAAAGTGAAAAGGTCAAGAGAGAAGGATGAAGCTAGGAAAAGGCAAGGACAATGGTCAACATCTAGGAAGGGTCTTCAGATGACTTGCAGCTTTTATGGCCAGCCAAATCATAATAAAAGAAGTTGTCCATTAGCCAACAAGGTATTCTTTCTATTTTGTAGTTTATACTCACAATCTATTTTTTTTACTCACAAGATAATATATATATTTGATTAAAATTACAGTCAAAGAAAGTGCAAGACCACACTCAGCAGCCAAGTCAGCAATCCAGTCACACCACTCAAATGCCAACTCAGCACTCTAGCACTCAAAGTATTCAGACCAGAAGAATGCTTATTCAAGCAGACTTTGGTGCAGATTCTGACCCAGTCTTGAGGCCTAAGGTTGTGTCTGATATTAAGACTAGACTTCAACGTAGGAATCAACAAAATTCTGGCACTAGGAAGATACCATTCACAGGTGCTCACACTGGTAGCTCACAACCAACAAAACTGCCATACTCCCCAAAGAAAACTACTTGGAAGGGGAAGGAAGCAATGACAACAGCTCAATTGTTGGGTGTGAAAGAGAAAAAGATTGGCAAACTCAAAGCTAGAAGAGGCAAGGGGAGGGGCAAGGGGGAGTAGTGTAGCAAGAAATGCCGAATGTAATATACATTAAAATCCTTTTTTTGCATGACTGTTCAGTACATGATGTTTGTTTATGTTCTAGGTTTTTAGACAAGTAAATGTTGTGACAGTGCTATAGGTTTTTGGATCACACATTTACTTGTCTAATAGCAATGTTTTGTTGGGCTTAAATCTTGAAACAATGTAAATTTGCTACTCCATTAATGGCAATGTTCTTCTTGTCTATCTATAACAGATTTCAAGTTGTTATTGTGATAGTCTGTGCATGTGGAACTTTAGAAATGCAGAATTTAAATGTTAACAGAGAACCATGGGTAACAAACTTTATTTCATACCAAAATTTAAATGAAGATAATGCTAACAAACTTCATTTCATACCAAAAGAGAACCATTACAAATGCAGAATTACAAAAGGAAACATAATACATAAACATTACAAATGCAGAAAAAGGAAAAAAACAGAAACTAATACATAAACATCTGCACTACATCATCTTGAAAACTAGTACTAACACAAAGACATAATACATAAACTTCAAACTTCATCAAAACATAATACATAAACTTCAAACTTCTGCATCATAACATAACTACACCATAACATAACTACACTACATCATCTTGAAAACTAGTACTAACACAAAGACAATCCAAGAAAACACAATAAACAACTTCATATTTTGTAGTTGAGCCTCCATCTTAGCAACCTTCTGTAATTTTGCTGAATTAATTCCCTCGACCTCTTCCATTATTTTCTCCATTTTCAGTCTTTCAGCAGAAACAACAACTTCCAAGTTAGCCACCATCTTATTCAGATAATTTCTTTCAACTTCCACTGACTTCAGTGAAGTATTCAAGTTATGGATTAGCATCGTCACATGTGGTGGCATCTCTTTATCACGCCATTCCCACAAACCACAAGAAGAGGCCTCGTCAAAACGAGGGCATTTGTAGAATCGACGACCACCGTTCAATTGAGTCTTAGCCACAAAATGATTTGCAGTTAAACCACAACCACAAAGACGCGACAAACCAGAAGAGACAGAATTTTCAGACATTTCGAAGGGAAAAGACAAGATTTAATTAGTTGTAAAAGAGAAATTTTGGGGAAGAAGAAAGCGAAATAGAGGAACTGATGACCTATGCTCTAAATTGGGGAAGAAAACGAGTAAAAATATGGGTTTAGGGTTAAAAGACCGACCTATAGGTAAAAGAAATGGGTCGGATCGGTTTAATGGGTAAAAAAAAACTCAAACATAATGTTAGCCCCACTGATCCACGTGGACAAATGAGAAAAGGCGACATCAGTTAATGAGATGCACACATGGAATTCCGTTAGTCGTGGGGGTAAATTTGATATTAGAAATAACGTCATGTATATATTCAGACGGATAGATGGACGGGGGGCTTTTATAAACCATTTACCATACGATAGGGATGTTTTTGGCCCTTTTCCGTTTTAAAAATATTTGCAACACTACAGCAGTCAGCTAAGAGAAAGCTTCTTTTTTATCATTCTTTTTAAAAAAGAAATTGCTTGAGACCCACGGGTGCTAGATAACACTTTAAAATGTGATACTTTGTCTTGTATCTCGAGGGTTACAAGGTCTTTTAGAGACTATTATATTAACTTTGTTAAATTATCTTGGATTATCTTTGGTCTATGAGAAAATGAGCTACTATTAATGAATTATAAGATAGGGTTTTTTCTCAAAATTTAAAGCCAATGGAGTAAAGGAGTTGCTATATTGTCCATGTCAAGAACGGGTGAGGCACCAGGTGAGTCCGTGAGGTTCGAAAGTGATCAGTTAGTTTTCTTCACCAAAAAAGATCATGAAGATTGATAAATAATTGTAAGAGACCAACCATAGATGTAGTTATATGCAAGCAATGAGTTAGATGGCCAAGATTGATCGGTCTTGTACAAGTAAATCATTCTTGTGAAGCAACATACACGTATTCATCATCGCTTTGTTAATTATTGATAATCAATGAACATGCATGCATATTGAACTATCCTAATTCTTCGCGAATGGAACAAGTGCATCCTATGGTGAAAGTGAAACACTAAATCTCTAACCCCTCACGAAAAATATGATATATATTGCTCTTAGGCACAACTGTCATACCCTTTTACTCAAATACAAATCCCCTGTAATTTCAAACTTCACAACCTGGGCGTACGTGGTGGTTAAATGTTGCATGGCATGCACGCACCGATCAAGCAATATACATAATCACATCAAAGTCTATAATGTGTGGGAGTATCATGTAAACCATCGTATCTTTACCCTGTATGTATTGCAACATTATATTATCGATAAACAGGATAAACAACTATATATAGACTCCTCCACCAGAATAAAAATTGATCATAAAAATAATCTCAAGGCCCTTATTCTTCCTCAACTACAGTGTTGTCCCATCGATGATATGCCTCTCTCTGTCTCATTGTATTTATTGATCAACAGTTGCTTGTCTACCGTCCTTATATGTATGATGACTCTCATAGTATTGTTGTGCTAGGGTCTTTACTGACTCTAAATATCTCTTTTCGCTGTAGAAGTACTCAGTTAAGACTGAACAATTGACTGTGATTTTAGTTGTCCCACGGCTAAACGTACTATCTCTCCAACTACAGGAGAAAGTTTGAAGCGAAGCATCTTGAATTTAAACCTATACTAGTTGGATTTTGCGATCTTGTTCTTTGTACAACCCTTGTCGACTCTTACAATTGATGCTCGTATCTGAGCTGGAATCGAAATTTGTGCTTGAATCATCGGCATGCTCCTATATAAAAGGGTTGGGTTAGGTACCATCACGACTTGGTTAGATTTAGGTTATGACAAGTATGTATCAGAGCTCTAGGTTCATATGTTCTACAAATCATGATCAAATGTCTAATTGAGTCTTGCGGATCGGTATTATAACGTCCATACTTATTTTCGAGAGGCTACATGGCATCTAGAAAACTTCTCTTTCTTTCTTTCCTAGTTGTGCAGCTTTGTTTCAGCTTAAAGTGTAAATTTTCGATTTTGTTCTACTCGTTCGTACGCGATGTTGTGAACTTGATATTAGTGGGGCACTAGCAGCTTGTAATAACGTCGCATATGCGGTATCAAATGCTTTCTTATGATATGGGAGTAGGCCAGTCTAAAAGACTTGTGTCCAGGTATGGACAGTTTTGGCTCGGGGGACTCAGGTAAGTGAGCATATAATTTTGGACTCTTTTGTCTTGTAATGACTTTAGAAGTGGGAGTGATGACACAATGAGTGGTAAGATCGTTATGTTTTTCATTGTTTGTTGCTCTAGAATGAAGTGGGTGCTTCTACAACCTTGAAATAAAATGGAGAAGTTGTTTCCAACATAGAATGGCGGAGTTAACGAGGCAGCTTTGTGTCACAGGCACGTTTTCCGTCTGCCGAAAACCAGCTGCCTGCGCGGCAGCCAAGTCCCGCACTTGACTTCAGCCTTCACACAACATTTAGCCAAAATTTCACTAACTTTGGACTTAGAAAGTTTATAGGCAGCTTTCAACGTAGTAAGCTTAGGACTGATTTTAGGGTGAAATTTAAAAATAGCCAGATTTACAACTGGTCGTTCAAAAATAGTCCAGTTTCAAAAGTAATCGAAATAACCACTTTTTATGTAAAGATAAATCTGAGCGAAAATACTGTTCAAAATCCGAAAAAATACGCCAGTATATTATGCTGGAGTTCCGGTATAAGTATACGTGAACTCCAGTATATTATACTGGAGTTCCAGGATAAGTATGCTGGAACTCCAGCATAATATGGTGGAGTTCCAGCATAAGTACATTAGAACTCCAGCATAATATACTGGAGCTCCAGCAAGTATACCGGTCCAGCATAATATACTGGAGTTTGGAGCGCCGGTGCTCCAGTCTCTAGTATATTATACTGGAGCCAACAAAGTATACCGGTGCAGCATAATATGCTGGAGTTCATACACAGGTGCACCGAACTCTAGTATATTATGCTGGACCGGTCTCTGTTGCAGCAAAATAGTGGCTATTCTTCATTGACTTGGTAAACGCTAGCTATTTTTGAATGACCAGTCCGAAAACTGGCTATACCGTGCTATTTTGACCTGATTTTAGGCAACGAAAATAAGTAAAGGCAACAAAAAATTAACAAGAACACAAGGCACAATTACAGGAAACTCTTTTCCCAACTTT